TCTTGAGCATTACCTTACTGGCATGAGAAATAAGGGCCACTGTACGGAAGTTTGAGCAGTCTTTCGCATTTCCCTTTTTTGGTATGGGGATATAAGTTGATTTTTTCCAGTCTGATGGCCATTCTTGTGTTTTCCATATTTGCTGGCAAATGGCATGCATCACCTTGACAGCATCATCTTTTAAGATTTTAAACAGTTCAGCTGGGATCCCGTCGTCTCCTGCTGCCTTGTTGTTAGCAATACTTCTTAAGGCCCATTCAACCTCACTCCTCAGGATGTCTGGTTCTAATTCATTCACCACACCGTCAAAACTATCCTCAATATTATTATCCTTCCTATACAGATCTTCTGTATAGTCTCGCCACCTTCTCTTGATCTCTTCAGCTTCTGTTAGGTCCCTGCCATCTTTGTTTCTTATCATACCAATTTTTGCCTGAAATTTACCTCCAATGTTTCTAATTTTCTGGAAGAAGTCTCTTGTCCTTCCTATTCTGTTGTCTTCTTCCACTTCCATGCATTGCTTATTTAAAAATAGTTCCTTATCTCTTCTGGCTAACCTCTGGAATTGCGCATTTAACTGGGCATATCTCCCCTTATACCTGTTTCCTTTTGCTTTCCTCCTTTCTTGGGCTACTTCCAGTGTCTCAGCAGACAACCATTTTGCCTTCTTGGTTTTCTTTTTCTTTGGGACGTACTTTGTTGCCGCCTCCTGAACAATGTCGCGGACTTCCGTCCATAGTTCTTCTGGGACTCTGTTTACTAAATCTAGTCCTTCAAATCTGTTCTTCACTTCCACTGTATATTCGCTAGGAATGTTAGTGAGATCATATCTAACTGGTCTGTGTATTTTCCCTGATCTCTTTAGTTTTATTCTAAATTGTGCAACAAGAAGTTCGTGATCTGAACTACAGTCGGCTCCAGGTCTTGTTTTCACCAACTGGATGAATGTCCACCACCTTTGGCTGCAAAGGATGTAGTCAATCTGATTTCGGTGTTGACCATCTGGTGAGGTCCATGTATAAAGCCGTCTTTTAGGTTGTTGGAAGAGAGTATTCGTTATACACAGCGAGTTTTCCTGGAAAAATTCTATCAGCCTGCGTCCTGCCTCATTTTGTTCTCCCAGACCATGCTTGCCTGTGATCCCAGTTGTCATTTGACTTCCCACCTTGGCATTCCAGTCTCCTGTAATGAAAATAATGTCTCTTTTTGGTGTATTATCCAGTAGGTCCTGCAGATCCTCATAGAACTGATCTACTTCTGCTTCTTCAGCAGCTGTGGTTGGGGCATATATTTGGATCACTGTAATGTTGAAAGGGTTTCCTTGCACTCGAATTGAGATCATTCTGTCATTTTTTGGGTTGTATCCAAGCACCGCTTTAGCGAATTTCTTATTAATTATGAAGGCTACTCCATTTCTTCGATGTTCCTCTTGTCCGCAGTAGTAGATCTGGTGGCCATCTGATGTGAAGTGGCCCATTCCAGTCCATTTCAGTTCGCTGACCCCCAGAATGTCTATCTTTAGTCTTGACATCTCACCAATAACAACATCCAATTTGCCCTGGCTCATAGATCTTACATTCCAGGTTCCTATGGTGTGTTGCTCTTTAGAGCATCGGATTCGTCGTTCACCTCCAGTACCGTCGGCCGCTAGCCTTCCTTTCGGCTTTGAGCTAGCTGCGTCATCACATCTGGGGCTAGTTGAACTTATCCTCTGCTCCTCCCCAGTAGCATTTTGGCCATCTTCCGACCTGGGAGTCCCATCTTCCAATGGCATACCGACATATCTTGGTTGTACTGGTCCATTTAGTTTTCTTGGCAAGGATACTGGAGTGGTTTGCCATTGCCTTCCCCAGGGATCACGCTTGGTCTGACCTCTCTGCCACAACCGTCCCGTCTTGGGTGGCTTCACGGTTTCGCTCATGACATCATTGAGGTGCTCAAGCTCCAGCGCCCCGACAAGGCGGTGATCCTTTGCTGGAGACATATATACTCTATATATGGAAACATATATACTCTACACTTAATCAAGTTTGATTATAAGTATAACCAACACTGAATTGCTTATCATGTATGGATCATGTATATGATACAATAAATTAGCATTTATGTATCAAGGGGAGGAATATGTGAGGAATGAATGTTTGAATGCATGTAAAAGAGAAGAAACAGGCCTGAAGAAAAACCAACGTGGAGTTATGATATGGGACGAACTTGGCAGTCGAAGCGAGGAGGCAGTAAGGCATAACTGAGCAACAATGGACAATGAGGTGTGCGGCCGAGCATGTAAGGAGTGCAGGATACGTGGAGGAGGTACCCCATAAGTCATGAGGCCTGGAATGCGAATGTCTTGGACTTTGGAGAGAACAAAGACATATTGTCCTTTAATAAGAGGACAGAGCAACCTGACTGTTGAAATGAAGAAAAATGGATTTTGGCCTATAAATGCAGGGGACCCCTGACAATCTCCACGCTTCCTGAACTGCAACAACGGAGCGTCCACGCTTCCTCAGAAAAGACTGATCATCTTCGCCGGAGGAGGCCTGTGTGTGCGTGAGTATGAATGAATGTGTGTGTGCACGAGAGCTCTCCTTGATGTGATTCTGATATGATTCTATGACTTAGGCTGTAGCATCCTGATGCCATACCTGTGCCAAGAAGAAACTTGTGTGACTCTAAATATTACAGTTGCCGTTAGTACACATTTAGGATTTCCAGCTTTAGAGATTCATTGGACATATGTACACCCTAATGCACAACACTATCTGAACAGGTGTAAACAGTGCACCCTAATAGCCACCCATCAAGAAGAGATAGAAGTCTGGAAAAATAGGGTGGGACTGCCTCCCAAGGCAGCATAAGAAGCCTTAATAGTTGATGATTGAGTGCATGGAGTGATTTTTACATTATTTCTGATAATTTTGGGTGTTTAGAATATAGACATTTTCTTTGCCCTAGAATAGCTATGAGGTGGAACTTTAAATGCTACCTAACTCTTTGGGTAATGGTGGTAAACCAAGTCTTTGTTCAAGGGAGGTGGCATGCCAACCTGTTCCATCGGTTGGTTGGAGCTATCTTTGCCTCTGGAAAATGTCACAAATTGTTGGGTGTGTTCTCATGGCCCTTCTACTCACTCACAAGGATGGCCAATAGTTCCTGGCCCACTCTTGAATTTGTTAGGATGGAACTCAACAAAGGTGTGGGCCTATCATTCCAACTGGACAAGGGACAAAAGTCAAACCACTCTGACTCTAAGAAAACCCACTCCTATGGCCCTTCTATGCATTCATCGAAGTAATAAGAGTAAGTGGGGATACACGCAGGGACAGATTAAGACACAACCCCAAAGACGCATACATTTAGGACATTACCCCACCTGTGAGAAGATTGTTGCTATGGTACCTACTCCCCAACAGGTGAAAGTTGGTGGAATTGGCTAACCTCATGGTTTACCAGATCTTGGATGGCTAAAAGGATTGTTCTTGGGAATTGTCATGTTGATTATTGTATTTTTTATAATGGTGATGTGTTTTCCCATCATCATGAAGATGTCTTATAAGTTCACTACAAGTGCGGTTCCCACTTCGCGGCAACTGGTGATGATTACAAGAATGCCAGGGTGTCGTAAAAAATGTTATAACTAGATATTGATCTTGCTTCAGCTTCTGTATGATCAGCTTTCGCAAAAAGAAAATGGAGGAGTGAAAGGGTTAACAGAACTTAGAAATGTTGAAATGTTGAAATGCAAACCTAAACAGGGTTTGTCCCTCTCCTCTGGCCTGCAGAAGACCAAAAGTCAAGGGGAGATAATGTATCTAGAAGACACAAGATGCTCTTTGTCAAGTTCGCCTAGGGAGTACCCAGGGTGGGTTAACACCCAAAATGCTTATCTGTAACAATAATGTGTGTGTTTACGTAGTTTGTAGAAGGTTAGCAGTGAAAGACACTGAAGTGGCAAAATATGAGAAAAACATGTTTTTGAATGGTTGATCCGATAAGAGAGGTGTGTGCCCATGACACAGTGAAAAGACATGTATATAAGGTGACTGAAAGATCCAAATGGGAGGGACAGCTTTTTTTGAAGACACTGGTCTGTCAGTTGTACCCTAGGTGGTTTTCAGTGATGAGTGATGAGAAACTAAGGGCACAGCAAGCAAAATGGGTTGGGGCCAAGTATAAGAGCTTCAGATGAATTCAGGCAAACAAAACAGAGCTCTTTCTTTTGATCAGCTTTTTGGCCTGAAAAGTCAAAATCAGTTCCATACATCTGCTTCTCAAGCATTAAATACCCCGTTATCTCTGATTGGAGATAGCTGCAGAAGGCTGAATGTAATTTTCCATCCATGAATTTTATCAAATTGTAATTTTCCACCCTGGGTTAGACAACCTGCTATTTCCATATGTTTTAGACTCCAGCTGGCTGAGTTTGTGGGGATTATTTGAGCCATCTGCAGGACACAGGTTGCCTATCCATGCAATGTTTTGCAGCATTTTAATCTCAGCTCTTTTTCTTTCTTATAGAGGTGTTGTACTTCTAAAGCCCCTTCTACACTGTCATATAATCCAGATTATCAAAGAAGATAACCCATATTATCTGCTTTGAACTGGATTATATGAGTCTACACTGTCATATAATCCAATTCAAAGCAGGTGATCTGGATTTTATATGGTAGTGTAGAAGAGGCCTATGGGATACAATGAAAAAAAAGAATTATTGGTATTGATAGTAGAGTATATTTAATAAAGCTAAACCTAAGTAAACCTTTCTCATCATTGTATCTCTCTGTGTAGGAAGATAACTAAGGAACTCAAAAATATTACTTCTTGGTAGACCCCTTTATGTATATCCCTTTCTTGGTGTGCGCCTTCATGCCATTTTTGATTTACCCTAAGGTAAATCTCTTGGCAAGATTTGTTCATAAATGTTTTCTTTTAGCCATCCTCTGAGACTGAGAGAGTGATTTGCCAAGGTCACCCAATGGTTCTTTTATATTCCTTTCTAGGTGTGAAAAATACCCTGATGAGCAATGACATGGCTTTTGAAACAGTGGAGGCTCCCTGGAGCCCAAAACACAAGATCAATCGAATGAAGATGGTAAGAAATGTGCTGGATACTGAGAATGAAGCTGCTTTCCGCCTTCATGACGACATGCCCAAGCACATATACTTTGCAGCCAACAGCACAAACAAGTGGGGTCACAAACGTGGTTATCGGATTCAGATGGTGAGCTTTTCTGGAGATCATATGCCAGAAACAGATCCAATGGAACGAGCCATCAGTTGGGAAAGGTATGCAACAAATATTTAGTCACTCACATCAAGACTGGTTATCATCATTATTGAGATTTATATAATATGGAGGTACTGATACCTTGAATGTAGAAATTCAAAGTGATGGAAGAGGGGTCTGTGTACACACTGTTCTGTCATTGTTCAAGTTCTACTTTAAATATTCCCAGTCATTACATTTGTGCAATATAAAGAAGTTTACATGAGTCTGAATAAATTCCCAGGGGGTAAATGAACCAGTTAATCCCAGCAAAAACAAGAGTCTTGTGGCACCTTAGAAGGTAGGAAGGAAATGAAAGGCAAAAAGCACAAGCAGTGATTATCACTCCACTGCCTATATTTCCCATTTAGTGGCATCATGAGGACAGTGTAGGAGGTGTAAACTGCAATGAGTGACACCAATGTTAGTGATGCCACAGCCATGATGGAAAGTGAAAGCTCCAGGATTTAGGCAAGTGAGACATCTAGCTACTCTAGAAGGTTTCAGTGCACAGGAGGAGGAAGAAGAAAAAGTGACATAGGGAACTGATGCTCTTTTTGACTGAGCCTCTTGGGTGCACTGAGGCAATGGAGGGGGTAACATCAAGGCTGGCTAACCACAGAGGATCCCCGGTATTGTAATCTGCCCCCACAGATAAGTAGGTTAGAGAGAGACCCTGGAATGCTGGTTGTTTGTTGAAATCTTCATTACTTCTATTAGGTTGTGTAGAAAAGTGAATTTTTGCAGATGTTGCTCATTATCTGGTGTGTGAGAAGGAAGAGTTCATATAATTATAGAATCATTGAGTTGGAAAAGACCTCGTGGGCCATCCAGTCCAACCCCCTGTCAAGAAGCAGGAAAATCAGCTCTCACAGTCAGGAAGTTCTTTGCTGCAGTTTGAAACCATTGTTCCACTTCCTAGTCTCCGGGGCAGTAGAAAACAAGCTTGCTACCTCTTTCCTATGGCTTCCCCTTACATATTTATACATGGCCATCATGTCTCCTCTCAGCCTTCTCTTCTGAAGGATAAATATGTTCAGCTCTTTAAGAAGCTACCTAAAGGGCTTGTTCTCTAGACCCTTGATCATTTTGGTTGCTCTCCTCTGGACACATTCCAGCTTGTCACTGGAAATCCTTAGCTAGCAACTGGATGTGTGAACCATATTTTACTTTTTCTGTCTATTTCCTATTGTGGGTGGACTTTGTGGTTTGCAGTTTATGGAATGGTGGATAGTTGTTAGCACATACCATAAAGAAATGCACACATAAGTACAGACACAAAAATTTACACATGCCAAATGTCCACAAAACACACCAATTCAATGAAGGATTGGATCCACACAAACCCAAATATGAAAAAATAAGCCAAGAAAGAGATAAATGTCATACTGTGAATGTCCACATACTACTGTCAGAATTGGGCATGAACTGAATATGGAGGTAAGATGGGGAAGGCATTCACAGATCACAGATATATACTTTATGGATGTTTATGTTGTTAGTCTGAAGATAATTCCTTAACAATTATTTATGTTGCTGATTCTTGGGGCTCTCTTCTTCTTAAAATACTAGAACACTGTTCTTAGGATTGAAAGTTGGTTGACTTAATTGTTTTGCATCTCACTGTGGTATTCCGTGTTGTAAGAATTTTGCACCAGAAATAGGTTTATATTTACTTTATCTAAACAAGAAATGAAGAGCACTTGCCAGTTTGAACTTCATCGGGCAAAGAGGGGGGAAATGAGGAAAGCAGAGGGAACCAACTTACTCCATTCCCTCCCATATCCCCCCCATCTTCTGGGATGGTCAGCCATCTCATGTACCTACAATGCCTTTCCTTCACTTTCTGAAGCTTTGAGTTGAGTAACACTTGACTCCTGAAGATAGCTGCTAGGCTCCATTTCTTTGTGCTTAGGAAACAGAATGTCATGGAGTCCCACTGAAAATGCCCTTATATCATGTGATGGCCTCCATGGGACTTTCATGGGGCTCCATTTCCTAAGTGCACGAAAATGGAGCCTAGTAGCCATCTGATGAGGTCCGTAACATTGGGTCTGTTCATCTGCTGTTTAGGTACAAGCTAGCTGTTACCAAGCGGAAGGAGAAGGAACCATCCAGTACCAGCCCTTATAACATGCTTGACCCATGGTCACCTACAGTTGCCTTTGCTGACTTCATAAATAATGAGTCCATCGTTAATGAGGTGAGTCACAAGATTCTTTGAAACTGGCAAAGGCATCAGTGATGGCCAGAAGTTCTTCTGGAGCTCTGTGGGAATGGTGACAGCAAAGGTAAGGTGACAGTCTGGCTTAACATGTTTGGACTTCACCCCACCGTGACAGAAACAGACAGTAGAGTCAACCTCAGGGTCAATCCAGAACACTGTTACTCCTTACTGACCTTGGATTTTTAGAGTACATGTAAATGTGCCCTGGTATTGGGCAAATGGGTTGGGTCTTCACCTCTAACTAGAAGTGGGAAGGACACAAGGGAAGAAGAGAAGGAGAGAAATGTGGCGTGTTTTATGAGTCGACACTGGGTGCAAACAACTGAATATGCATATATTATAAAAACAAAAAAACTTAGAAGTTTGACTTTCTGGTTTGTCCTTAGACTGAAGATCTTTTTAAGTAGACTAATATACATTCAAATAGGTGACCATTCTTAAAGCTATGATGAAACGGGTGTATCTTGCTGCAACTTTCTCTATGTGTCACACCCAGTCTCATGCAACATTTCAGAATGTATTTTTAAACCAATTTAAACTTAGCCTTTTTAAATTCATGAGTTGTAGTAAAAGCTTTAGAAACATTATAGTAGTTCAGCATGAGGGCTATTTTGTTTTCATTCTAACATTCCTCTTTCCCTCTTTCACTACTTGATTTCTGCTGAATCTGTCCTAGAAACAATGGCTTGGAGCTCATATTTAGTGGAGCCAAGACAGTAGAAACACAGTACAATTAACTGTTAGGCTTCACTTTGTGTCCTGTGTTTTCACTCTTTCATCTGCATTGGGATAAACATTATGGGGCCCTTGCCAAAATCTCCTTCTTAGCAGAGGACCCACTTCCAGGCTCTGAGGATCCCTGTCCATGTTGCTTATACCTCTTGCTTGTCACTTTGTGTTCCTCTGTGCTGCCAAATGTTCAATGACAGCAGTATAGATGGGGGAATAGTGTCCTTTATGTACTAGATACAGATGAATCTCCAAGGTACACAATTACAAGATTTCCTAGTTATGGCAATCTCTCCCATTACTCATTTAGACCGGAATTCTATATTTACTTTTCTGGCGCCAACAGTTCTAAATATGATTTTCTTCTGGGCAGATTTTATAAGATTGTACTGTGAACTTACTCTGATCAATGATTAGATTATATTAAACAACTTGTGGGGCACCTTGGGACTCCAGAGGTTGTCATTCTTCAACTCTCATTACTTCTGCCCAGCATGGAAAATTGTAAAAGGTAATAGCAGTTGAAGTTTAGTAACACCCTGGAGGACCACAGGTATTGAACTATCATTCATGATCTGCTGCACCACGCTTGCTCAGTTTTTCTAACTGCTTTTCTGCATCATATCTGAACACATCATTTTTTCGTTTTTTTCTCCAAGGATCTGGTTGCTTGGATCAATACTGGCTTCTTGCATATCCCACATGCTGAGGACATACCCAACACTGTAACACTGGGAAATGTGCTTGGATTCTTTTTGAGACCTTATAATTTTTTTGATGAAGATCCTTCCATATATTCTCTGGACAGTGTTTTCTTCACCAGTGAGCAAGACTTCACTTCCTGTGATGTCAACCAACTTGCATGTCTACCAAAAACAGCTGCATGTGTTCCCAACTTTCCCACTTTCACCTACAGTGGATTCCAAAATATGACCAAACTCTGAAACCTGTTATTTGAATGGCGTGCATATGTTTTAAATTAGAAGGGAGAAAGTAAACAGTTAAACTATATATAGTGTAAACTGCAATGTGTATGAAGAGAAGCTCTCCCTGAATTTTTTCTGTCCAATAACTTTGAAATCCAATTCTTATGATTTTTTTTAAAAAAACATTCACATTGCTTGTATTTGTAAAGTGGATTTCCTGCAGGTCTTTTTAAGGGTTCAGATATCCCAATCAGATTTCTGCATTGTAATTGATTTTCTCCACCAGTTGTGCTCCTATTTGTCTCTCACTATCTTTTAAAGATGTTAATAGAGGTCTCTGCACTCCAAGAAAGTAGATTAGAACAGAAGAGAGGAATATATAACTTTCCATATGTTGCTGTGCTGCACCTCCTACCTTGTCTCAATATTGGCCATACAGTCCAAGGGTGATGGGATTTACAAAAATGGAGGCATTTATTTTATAGTATACCCTAGATGCACTCCAAATTGAAGAATTAATCACATATATTCTCTTCTGATGTGATCCAACAAACAGGTTTATTATATAGATTATTATTACATATTGTTTTATTTCTGAACTGAAAGAGACCTTCCGCAGTTCCATGGCAAAGAGTATTTTCAGCTTTGGAGATTCAAATTAAACTACTAAATCTTGCAGCTACAGTTATTTGAATAATAATCTATATTATCTGTATGAAGAGATTTAGTGAGGTGATTCATTATTCAAAATTCTTGGAACCAGAAGTATTTGGGCTTTGGGATTTCTGAATACAGTACTGGTATTTGAATGTACACAATGAAATATCTTGGGGATGGGACCCAAGTCTAAACATGAAATTCATTTATGCTTCACATGCCTTGAAATTATTTTTTACAATATTTTAAAATAATTTTGTGCATAAAATAAAGTTTGTGTACAGCAAACCATCAAAAAGCAAATATGTCATTATCCGAGCCACCTATAGGGACAGTTTTGGATGTTAGAATATTTCAGGTTTCAATTCTTCTGGGCCTCAGCAATGAGTACCACACACACTTTCCCTCCCTCTCCTCACCCAAGCTCCTCCTCTCTGTCACCAATTGAAGTTCCTCTGCCCCCTCATCCCCTGAATGTGAGAAGGGTAGAAGAACATCAAGAGGAGGAGGAGGAGTAGGAGGAGGAGGCAAGGAGGGGGCAGACTTCAATATCACCCTCTCCTTGCCTCCTCCTACTTGGCAGTTGATGTCCCCCCATCCTTTCCTGGCTTGAGGAAACAGGGGGACACCAAGGGGCGGTGGGAGGAGGAGAAGGAGGCAAGGAGGGGACAGAGGAATATCAATTGCTGAAGAGGAGGAGAAGAAGGAGGAGCTCGGTGGGGTGTAGGGAAAGGGGGCAGTGCCTTCATTGGATGAGCCCCTGGGATGTCCCGGGCAGTGGTCCCCTAGGACACAGGACATTTTTCCCGGAATAAGGGACTGTCCCTTAAAATCCAGGATGCCTGGCAAGCCTGCATATCACACTTACCTATAAAGATATTGGTTGCACCAATCTGTAGTACTGCAGAACAAGAAATGTTTTAATATAATTGGTTTAATATTGATTGGGTATGTTGCTTTCTAAATAGGTGACATTCAATTCTCAATTCAATGGGTGTTTTTGTCAGCTCTGTGCTCTATACTTTAATAAATTCTTAATGTTTTATTTATTGATGATTGCCTTAGCTTTTCATCTCTTTATAGTGAGAGATCTTAGAATTTAGCTTGCCTGGAAGCCTAGAACTATTTTTTAATAATCTGAAATGTGTGAAGACATGTTACAGTTGTTCAGCAGAAAGACAAGTGTATTGTGTGTACTCTCCAACCATCCCAATTTGGCAGTAATCATTCTAATTGATCCTCTGTTTTCTCACTTCCGTTTAACATGTCCCAGATTCTGTCTCTTCCTCCCTTTGTCCTCAGCTTATTTCAGTCATTTCAAACTGAGTCCAAAGTGCAAAAGTAGTTATTATTTGCCATGCACAAGCTGCAATTAAAGTAATTAATTCAGTGTGGTGGTGAAAAGAGACACTCTTTCCAGTAGATTTAGGTAAAAGAAAACTTCTGCAGTCTCTCCTAGATTGTGTGTTCTTCCTCATAAATAACCTCATAAATTTACTATTTGGTCCACACTGTAATGTTGTTTATTGTGGTTTGCATTTGTGAAATGTTGAATGGTATGACCTTATATGTGCTTAGTGAAGCCGTATCTTTAATATTACTTAATGTACCCCATGGCTAATTCCTACAGTTAAAATTGATTCAATGGTTGAGATGTGGTATGATCCCATGTGGGTAAAATAATTTTTAACAAGGAGAAAAAACAGAAATTGTGTGATAGTTAAATCACTTGTTGCATTGTCTGAGTTGTTATTTGCAATACACAACTGTAGTATGCTTGTGGCAGCTGTAGGAACTGATGTATCCCTTTCTAACACTTATAGTGTCTAATTTACTATGAATTTGCAATGTCAATTGCCTTGTCTCGAGCTGAAGCCTATTAACAAAAATAAAATAAAAATGAGTATGACCTGGCCATTTGTGAACTGCCTGTTGAGATGATTTATAGACTAATGAAAAAACAAAATTGTTGAGCAGAAGCAAAGTTGTTTGTGTGGTCGAAGGCTTTCGACAATACAAAGTTGTTGTTGTTTAAAAGGTTTATCAGGAGTTATAAAATAGTAATATTAATGTAATCTGGAATCAATATACATTCGCCTCTTGCTATTTTCACAAGCGCTGTTATGCGTATTGCTTTAATGGATGCATGTCAGCCAAAGTCAAATGACCTGGTATATTGGGCATCATTTTATCTAAAAAAATCAAATTGCCTTTCAGTTCAGTAAAACTGAAATTGTTCCATAAATGAGATTTTGTCACATCTCATTTTGCAGATGTCAGGATAAGTCAATCATCACTACACATGTCAAGCTCAAACTGTAATTGCTTGTCTTTTTAAACAACAAGTACAACCACACACCTTTCAAATAGGCAACCTGTCATAATATGCAATTCAGACCTGATCAAGAAATATGTAACTAGATTCTAGATACATGTACATATCTTTTGTTCATTATAAATTGCAAATGATATTAAAAATATACCTTGATGACGTTTGATGGCAACATTGTATAGCAGCTGAAATATTCATTCTTTGGACAGAAATGGAAAGAAAGCTTGTAAACTTTTGGGAGACATTTAATCCAAAACAGACATTTAATATCTATGTGGACATTTTGTTGCCATCCATAGACACTGTGAGCTTGTCTACATGAACCTCAAACCTTTGTTTTGTCTATAACATCTCCTTTGAAATTGCACTGAGATAATTCAGGGCAGACCAGAATATATTGTTGAAGGCTTTCATGGCTGGAATCACTGGGTTGTTGTAGGTTTTTTGGGCTATGTGACCATATAGCCCGAAAAACCTACAACAACCCAGTCCAGAATTGTTAGTTTTTGGCCTTGGAGAACTGCATGATTGCTTCTCTGGTCTCCTAACAGACCTTCAAAGACTTGGCCTTCTCTTGGGGGCCAAGGGGCATATTGCAGGTAAGGATTTTGACAGCTCTATATTTTGCCAACTGCTACTAAATAAATATGTCATACTTTTCAACCACTGGACTGCTTAATGCCTCTGAATCAGCCTCATTTAGCAGAACAGTGGCCCATGACCAATTGGTAGTGTGAAGTCTCCTATCCCTGAACTTTACTCATAAGAAGAAAACCAACCTGGCAGGACCAGTTATTAGAGACGTGAGTGCAGCCTAGCCAATTTGAATGCAAGCCTTTGACATGCTGTGCTCCTCAGATATCCAGAATCTGACTCCATTCAGAAAGGTCCTTGGCCAGTGTGATAGGAATGAAAGAGACAGAGATGGATACATGGACATACCTTTGTGAGCTCTGCAGTTCTTAGCAAGAAGACAGGTCTTGATAGGAAATCAAGGCCAAGAAATATAAAAAAGCTTAGCATGGTGCTGTGGCTCTTCAAATGTCACTAAACTGAGGCTCCCACCTTCCCTCATGATTAACTCTGTGCATTACAGATCAACAACACCTATCATTTACATTTTTTGCACTCCTAAGATATTGCCAAAATCAGTTTTCCTGAGGAGAAGCTATTTCTTAAATGTGTGGATTTCTACTTCAGAACTCCTGAATATCTTTTTCAGATTGAGAGTCTACATGGATGTGCACTGGAGATTCTTTCCTTGATAGAGGACTTCTTTTCATGAACAGGCCAAATTTGATGTATGTTGGTTTCCAGCCTCTTTCACCTCATGTTCACCAGCTACCATATATAAAATTAAAATGTCATTAAATACATGGAATGTGTCCATTCCTATATGTGTACTGCAAGTGTGAAGAAACCAATGGCAAAGTCCTTTGTTTGGCACACTTTTGAATTTCTGAAAAATCTGTCAAATTGGAAGAAATCTAATAAGTTGAACCAGCTGCCTAAATATTTCTGTCTCTGCTTGAGCACTTTGAACTTTCCAATTAAAGTAGCAATTACATTTTTAAAAATGAGTGCTTGTGATAAATATCAAGTATTCAGATAAAATTCATGTGCAGGTTTAAGAACCGCTGGCTGAGGAAGTTATTTTGGTGATTGAAATATATCATTACATATGATATAGCAACTTTCTCATGGACATTCGAAGAAATATAGATTATTATCCAGGACATTTTGTGTTGGTTGTTCTTGTAAATACCTGCAAGTCTTAAAATGTTCTAAATAAATAAAGTCATATAATCTAAGTGCCAATTTTCAGAGAAAGAAATGGAATGAATGAATGAATATCTTAGATTTGGGAATAGATTTGGAAATAGGATGGGTGCCCTGATGACTCGGCAGCTCGCTGCGAAGCTTTTGCTCGGTTCTTCGCAGACAAAGTCGCTTTGATCCGCTCTGGACTGGATACCATATTAACGGCAGTATCTGAGGATGTAACACGAGCATCTGCTTGTCCGGTTTTGATGGATTCATTTCAATTGGTTCAATCCGAGGATGTGGACAAGGTGCTTGGAGGAATGAGAGCTACCACATGCATCCTAGACCCCTGCCCATCCTGGCTTCTGAAGGAGGCCAGAGGGGGATTGGCCGAGTGGGTGAAGGTGGTGGTTAATGCCTCCCTTCGGGAGGGCAAAATTCCAGCCAGCTGAAAGCAAGCTGTGATAAAACCGCTGTTGAAGAAACCATCACTGGACCCCACTCAATTCATCAACTATCGGCCTGTTCCAATCTCCCCTTTTTGGGCAAAGTCATGGAACGTGTGGTGGCCTCACAACTCCAGGCATTCTTGGTAGACACGGATTATCTGGATCCGGCACAGTCTGGCTTTAGGCCGGGGCATGGTACCGAGACAGCCTTGGTCGCCTTAGTGGATGATCTGCGTCGGGAGCTCGACAGGGGGAGTGTGTCCCTGTTGGTGCTGCTCGACCTCTCAGCGGCATTCGATACCGTCGACCACGGTATCCTTCTGGGACGCCTCGCGGGGATGGGTCTTGGAGGTACTGTTCTGCAGTGGCTCCGCTCATTCCTCGAGGGTCGGTCTCAGAAGGTGTTACTGGGAGACTCCTGTTCAACCCCACAACCTTTGTCTTGCGGGGTTCCTCAGGGTTCAATACTGTCTCCCATGTTGTTTAACATCTACATGAAGCCGCTGGGCGAGATCATCCGGAGTTTCGGAGTGCTATGTCATTTGTACGCAGATGATGTCCAACTCTGTCACTCCTTTACTAAGGAGGCTGTTCAGATCCTAAACCAATGCTTGGCCACTGTGGTGATCTGGATGAGGGCTAACAAATTGAAATTGAATCCAGACAAGACAGAGGTACTCCTGGTCAGTCGTAAGGCCGAACAGGGCATAGGGTTACAGCCTGTGTTGGATGGGGTCGCACTCCCCCTGAAGACGCAGGTTAGCAGTTTGGGTGTGATCCTGGACTCATCGCTGAGCCTGGAACCCCAGGTTTCGGCGGTGACCAGGGGAGCATTCGCACAGTTAAAACTTGTGCGCCAACTGCGCCCTACCTTGGGAAGTCTGACTTAGCCACGGTAGTCCACGCTCTGGTTACATCCCGCCTTGACTACTGCAACGCTCTCTACGTGGGGTTGCCTTTGAAGACAGCCCGGAAGC